GGAGAAGACTATGAACTCTGGGATATTGTCACTGATGGTCCCCTGGCTACCACAAAGAAGAATGCTGAAGGAGTAGATGTGCCAAAAACTAGAGCTGACTGCACTGCTGAGGATTTAAGAAAATGGGAGAAGAATGCCAAGGCCAAGAAATGGCTTGTGTGTGGACTAGGTCCAGATGAGTACAGTAGAATTCAAAGCTGTACTAATGCTAAGGAAATCTGGGACACTTTGCAAGTGGCTCATGAAGGAACACCTCAAGTGAAGAGGTCCAGAGGAACATTGCTGTATTCTCAATATGAGAATATCACCATGAAGGAAGGAAAAACCATCCAAGAGATGTATACAAGGTTCACCACACTGACAAATGAACTTAAGTCTCTTAGAAGGATTATCCTTGAAGAAGACAAAGTTGAGAAGATTTTAACAAGGGTTCTGTCAGTCTCTTGGAAAAGCAAAATTACTGCTATCCAGGAATCAAAGAATATTGCTACTCTCAAGCTGGATGAACTAATTGGAAACCTTACTGCAAGACAAACCATGAAAATGGATGCACCCAAGAAGGAAAGGAGTCTGGCTCTCAGAATTGCTGAAGGTTCATACCTGGAGGATGATGAAATGGCTATAATCACAAGAGACTTCAAAAAGTACCTGATGAGAGGAAATGGATCTTCAAGAGGTACAACCTTCAACAAACCAAGGGCTCTTGAGAAACAGACCAATGAGGGTTGCTACAAATGTGGTAAGACTGATCACATAATCAAGAATTATCCTCAATGGGAAATTGAGTGGAAAAAGGAAAGGGTTGAACGAAGGAACAGGTTCAACCAAAAAGGAACAAAGGTTCAACAAAGGCTATGGTTGCTGCCTGGGGAGAAACATCAGATGAGGACTCAGAAGATGAAGCTGGAAATGAACAAGCGCTTATGGCCATTGGAGAATCAGATGAGGAACAAGAGGTAAGTATTCTTCATCTCAAGGACAAGATTAAATTCCTGTCTAAAGAAAGGTTGTCTGAGCTACTGCTAGACTTCATTGATGAGTCCAAGATAATCAATAATGAGAAGGAAGAATTGTCTAGGGAATGTGTGATCCTAAAAGCCAAGTGCAAAAATCTAGAGTCTAGGGCTAATGAGAGTGAAAGTAAAAATGCTGAGTTGAAGAACCAGGTTCTTGAACTTGACACTAATGTCCTAGAACTTAGGTCTGAGAACTTAAAACTGAAATTAGGAACAGGAAAGAAGAAAGCTGATCACATATATCTCACCCTAGAAGAAAACTTAGGAAAAATGAAGGATGAGCTGATTCAAGAAAAAAATAGGCTGCCTGGGTGGGCTAGAAGGAATTTGATTTATCCATTTGCCTATAGAAAGGGACCCAAACTAGTTTGGGTTCCTAAGACTAACCCCTGATTTCTTTTTGCAGGCCCAAGTGAAGTGAAGTAGCCAAATATGGTACATGGATAGTGGCTGCTCAAAACATATGACTGAGAGCAAGAACCAGTTTCTTTCACTTGAGGACTTAAAGGGAGGTAATGTCTCCTTTGGAAATGGAAAGAAAGGTGGGATTATTGGGGTTGGAAAGGTAGGTAAGACAGACTCTCACTCCATTGAGAATGTCTACTTGATAGATGGCTTGAAATATAGCCTGATCAGTATGTCACAACTGTGTGACAGAGGTAACCTTGTAGCATTCACCTCTACTAAATGCTTTGTGATTAATCTTACCACTGACAAGATTGTTTTGCAGGGAAAGAGAGTTAACAATATTTACATTGTAGATTTGTCCACTCTCTCAGAAAATGAACTAACTTGTCTAAGTGTGCTGGATAATGATCCCCTTCTGTGGCACAAAAGACTTGGTCATGCTAGTCTGAATCAGCTGAAAAAATTAGTCTCCAAAGACTTGGTGATAGGGTTACCTAACATCAAGTTCAAGGAAGACAAAGTTTGTGAGGCCTGTGCAAGGGGGAAGCAGGTAAGATCATCTTTCAAAAGCAAGAAAATGGTAAGCACAACCAAGTCGTTGGAACTGGTTGATCGTTGCAAACTCGACGCTACACCAAGGTAGGAAGAGCGGGTCGCAATAGCTTTTACCCGAATAGTGGTCGGGATCGATTTCCACAGGGAGCTAGTAATGGAGTTGGATTTTCTGTCTAGTCTAGAGATGTGTTTGTGCTCCTAATGTCACTTCAAACATTCTTGATTTTTGATTTTATAACTACTATGATAAAACTAATGATTAACGCTAAATTATACTACTAGAATATTGCAAAGTTGTATCTAATGGCAAGGAAGGCACTAGGGTCGTGGCATTACCTAGGTGGCTAATTGACGGGTAGATGTTACTAAGGATAGATTGACATATTTGGGGCTTATGCTATAACCGTTGCACAATTGTACCCACTCTCACACCTCTCGGTAGAGAGAGTGATTTTGCCCAATTGACTCTCTCGAGACCAATTGGGTAGGCCAATAAGATCAAGCAACTAGGGTTCAAGTAGGGTGATTACTCTCTCGAGATTTAACCCGTTAATTGGGACTATCATTTCTCATAAGTCCATCCCAATACCTTGTTGGGTCAATTTTGGGGTCATAAACTCTCTTTCTCAAGAAGAGTCAAACCCACAAAGCTTGAATCAGTGTTTGCAACCACCAATTCTTAAATAAAAACATAAAGTCAACCCAAATAACAAACACCCATAATCAATCTAACCCTAGATGACAACACCCATCAATTACCCATACTAGGGTTGAGCCACAACCCTAGCTAATGGGTTTAGCTACTCATGCTTGAAAGAGAAAATGAAGAAATAGATGAAGGACTAAGCATATTAATCAATTACTAAAAAGAAATCACAAGAATCTATCGTGAGATTAAAGCTAAAGTGCCAAAAATGGCTACAAAACCGAGTCTCACGAGCGCAGCTATGTCTGGAACACAAAAAACTTCGCTAAAAATGGTAAAATGTTCTATTAATACTAGGCTGGAAAAACTGGACAAAAATACCCCTGTGGGGTCAGTGCGGGCCGCACAAAAAGGACCGCGGCCGCACTGGCTCTTGGACTTCACATTGCTGCTTCTCTGAAGTTGGACTCTGCGGACCGCGTAAAATGGACTGCGGCCGCGGAGGGAGTTGGCGCGGTCCGCACAATAACGACCGCAGACCGCATGGCATAGTCTTGGTAAAAATAGTAGCTCTCTGAACCTCTTGACCGCGGACCGCACAAAAGGGTAGTGCGGCCGCGGAGCACTGATCGCGGACCGCATAAAAATGTACCGCGACCGCGTTGCCCTTGAGTCCAAAATGCCAACTCTCTGAATCTCCTAATGCGGCCGCATGTCCATTTTGTGCGGTCCGCACTAGGCCTTCTTCCCTTAGATTTCATGGTCTTTGATACTTGAGCAGGTTTCACTCCTTTTTTAGCCGAGCTTTGACATTTCATCACTTTGTTGATCAAACCTGCAAACAAGCACAACCTGTGAGCATTTTGGGACAATTTTGTAGCGATGTATAACCAAAGCACAGGCAAGTAGGGGCATAAAAATGTTAAAATCCTAACTTATCAGCTGCTTCAGCTCACTGAGGACATGACCTTTGATATGAGAGTGTGGAGGTCGAGGATTAAGGTAGAAGGTTAGTAGGTAGTTTATAGTTGTTCACCGATAGTCTTAGTAGTATGCATGTCCCTTCATATTCTTAGATTTTTATTATGTTATGTGGTTTTGTTCGCCTCAGGTATTGTATTCCCTGTTGCTATTATTTGGTACCACTTATCCTTTATCTCTCCCTTTTTCTTTTATCTTCCAACTTTCTTCCTCCCTTGCTTTCCTCTTCTTCTTCTTGCTCTTCCTGAGCCGAGGGTCTATTGGAAACAACCTCTCTACCTGCATTAGGTAGGGGTAAGGTCTGCGTACAGACTACCCTCCCCAGACCCCACTTGTTGGGATCAAACTGGGTTTGTTGTTGTTGTTATTGTCGTGTGCTATATAACCCGCGCCATGTGCATGGGTCTAGGCAACCTGACCCGAATCACCTAAAAAAATTTTGGCCCATCAAGAAATACCTAAGGAACATTAGTCATCGCCTCGCCATGACCGTTCCTCATTTTTTGGTGTTTTTGGTCCATAAAATTTGAATTCCGCATGATTCCTAGATTTTCGTGTGTTGTAGCCCATGCCATCTACATGGATCCGGGCGACCGGACCCGAATCACCTAAAATTTTGCCGGCCAATCAAAAACGACCGAAGAAATATTAGTCATCGCGTCGCCATGACCGTTCCTCATTTTTTGGCATTTTATGTCCACAAAACTGGAATTTTGCCCGATTCCAAGATTTTTGTATGCTATAGCCCACAACATCCGCATGGGCCCGAGCGACCGGACCTGAATCGCCTAATATTTTGCCGGCTCATAAAAAATGGCCTATGGAACATTAGTAATCACCTCGCCAGGACCATTCCTCGATTTTTGGCGTTTCAAGGCTATGAAACTTGAAATCTACCCAATTCTTAGATTTTTGTGTGCTATAGCTGTGAGCACCTAATTTTTTATTATATTTGAGTTTTTCTTCACTTTTTAGTATGTAAATATATTTTAAGCTTAATCTACATATTTTTGCACTTATTTGACCTTTTATTGATTTTATTTAAGAAAACTGAAAATGATTAAAAAGAGTCACATTTTTAAATAAATTTTATCTTCATAAGAAAGAAAAGTTTTCCAAAAGTATATGTTTTTAATCTAGTTTAGTTCAACTTTTAGAGATAGAGATTTTAATAAGGAAATTTTGAGTGGTTAATATGTTATCTTCCTATTCTAGTTCTAGTTTAGTGGGAGTAGTATTTTTATTAACTATCAACAAAGAAAAAGAAAAAGAAAAAAAAAAGGAAGAAGAACCAATTCAAAAATGCCACTTGGCAAAGATTCCATTCTATCTATATGTAACAAATTCACCTGCACATGGGGAGAGAGGGCACGTTTCCAGCACTTGGGGGCCATTTAGAAATATTTTTTTGGTTCCTATCTTGCAAAAATTCATAAGGCAAAGGAGATAGCACATGGCACCAACAGAAAAAGATTTTTTGATGTTACTCCCGGCAGAATAGGCACCTGCTCCTTCCACTTCATTTTTCCTCTCTCTTTCTCTTATTCACTTTTAAATATATACACACACTCAACACAGACACAGAGAACAAGAAAAAGAACGGACGGAAAAACAGAACAAAAAAACAGAGAACAAAAAAATAAGAGTTGCTGCTCATCTTCTTTTTCTTGAGGAGCCAATGGAAAGAGGATCTTCTTCCTTATAAAAATCCTAGATCTAGAGCTTAAGATCCACCATGAAAGGGCCATGAGAGCTCATCTTTCCCAACTGAAATCCACCACCAAACCTCCATTACCACCACTACATGAAGCTTCCAAACCAGCGAAAGTTCCATTCTGAAAAACCTCTTAAACACCACCAAAACGAAGCTGAAAAGTAGCTTTAAATAGTCCTTAAACTAGCCCCAAAAGCCATCGTAGCTTCAGCCATAAAACCTCATCCTCTCCAAAAATCCAACGAGAGCCCCTCTTGGGTCAGCCGTTAAAAAAATGCAGAAACAGAGAGAGGGTGAACGGGAAGAAACAGAGTGAGAAATTCCTGTGACAACAGTCATCCGCTTCAGTCATCGCTGAAGAGTCGAGGTCCGTCCGAGGTTCGTCGATTTCCGGCAAGCTTCGAAGTCGAAGTTTCGTTGGTCCTGTTCACGTCCCCATCCGATTTTGGAGCTGCAAATCAGTTAAGCTCAGATTCATTTCTCACCTGTTATTTCATGTATTTAATGGGTCATAATTAATCTTGTTTTACATATGGTGATATAATTGTTATGTTGCATTTGTGAGTTAATATTTAGTTGTTTGATTCTTTGAATTTGATTTCTTTGATGGAAAACAGGAATATACCGCGGAAGAAAATAGCCAGGATTACTTGCATGTAATATAGACAATACATAATCATAAATTTTAATCGAACATAAAATCGATACTTATCTCTTGAAACGTGACCGCGATCGCGAGAAGCCTCCAAGCAAGAGTGAAACTGTCCACGAGATCATCCTCCAGTTTTACAGTCTTCTGCTGTGTTACCCGAATAATGCCCGGAATTAGCAAAATTTGTGTGGGCGAATTTCTCCTAGGAAAAGCATGTAGTAAAAATTCTTTCCTCTTTATGGAATAAGACCTCTTTATATAGCCACAGGTTCTAGGGTTTAAAATATTTTCCTAAACCTGTTGGGTCTTCCTTTTCCACCAAGAATTATAATCCCATTAAATTTCTAATTATTCGGGTACAGCAGGGACCGTAATATTTAATTGACGAGGGTTCCTATTATGGATTTAATTCGAAATATCTGAATTAATACTACCATAATGAATTACGAATTATACCACTAAAAATTCGTAACTGCACTCCTCAGTTCAATTTCGAAATTCTTCCATTATATCTTATTTAACCCCCCATGTTAAGATTCAGATACTAATCAAATAAATTATATTACTAACAATTTAATTCATTGATTATTTCCTTTAGACTTTCGCCTAACTTATTTCATGTGACGGATACAAAATCCACCTGCAGGGTTTACACATGAAAACTTATAAGCTTTCATAAAGGTGTATCATCAATCTTTAGACCGAGACATGGATTCCATCAACTAACTATTACTTCGCCAATGTACATTATTATTATGCAATTTACCAGGCATATTGACCCACCAAAGGATCTCGCCTTTTAATAAATCAAAACAATAATAATATACACAACTAATAATAATTATATCAAGATTAAGAGTATAAGTACATTTAATGGCTAGAGAGTTTATTTTATTAAGTCAGTATAAAATACTTATCTCTACTTGGTTCGTTCAATACATTAAAAATGTACTAGCACAAGAAGTCGGAATTAAACCATTCCCATAATCAAGATAAACTATATTTAATCTTGTGCTACAATCATTTCTGATGGTTTGTCCAGTTCTATCATTAGATTGTGAACATGATCTTTATACTTATAAGAACCGATGATTTAATCTTCCGTGTATAAGCTAAACTCTATACACTAAATCATCTACTATATAAGTAAAGAACAAAAACGAATATGTGATCTATTTAAAACTTTATTAAAATTGAATAAACAATTGTTCCATAATAAATACTATATCCAAACCAAAATTCATGGTTAATAGTATATATCCCAACAATCTCCCACTTAGACTCATAACAATGCATCTATAACTTTCACAGCTATCCTTTTGCATGACTATTAAAAGTCTCCGCCAATAAGGTTTTGCTAAAAGGAACTTGCCAATTTATTTTCAAATGCAATTTTTGTCTAGTAGTGCTTTGTCGCAACTAACTAGTTTGGTCTTAAGCTCTTCAGGGATCTTGTTATGGAACTCCTCCAAGAGTACATACCAAACTATGATTTTCCTTACTATTCTCCCACTACGACGAAGTACTACTAATATTATCTTCATTACCTTATCGTATTGAAATATTAGTGACTTCTTCCTGTAGCATTCTTGTGATGATCCAAAGGGTTATCTCATGTATTAAAACTCAATTCAGGGTTCCGAGGCCTTCAAAACCTCATCCTACTTCTCCTCGATCTGCATGCGTAGTCCGGGCGCATTTTTGAAAAGCCTTTGTGCGAAAAATTTGAGAAAATAATAATATATGCATTTAAAAGTGATTTTGTTGACATCGGTCAACATTTTTAGTGAACAGACCCGGACCCGTGTTTTGACGATCCTGGAGGGTCCGTAGTAAAATATGGGACTTGGGCGTATGCCCGGAATCGAACTCCGAGGTCCCTAGCCCGAGTAATAAATTTTATTTAAAAATTGTAAAACTAAAAATCTAAGGATTTAAAGAAATTAAATAATATTTGATCATGTTGGTATCGGGCTCGTATGTTGATTCCGGAGTCCGGTACAGGTTTAATATAATATTTAAGTCATGTCTGTAAAATTTGGTGAGAAACATGACTGATTTGACATGATTCAGACGTCCGGTTGTGAAAATAGAAATTTGAAATGTTCTTAAGGATTTCATGTGTTTTGATGTTAAATCCGTGGTTTTAGATGTTATTTCGGCGATTTGATCGCACGAAAAAGTTTGTATGATGTTGTTAGACTTGTGTAAGTATTCGGCGTGGAGCCCCGATGGCTCGGGTAAGTTTCAGACGTGTGTTGGGAGTGAAAACACTCCAGTTTTCTGGTATTTCTGGGCAGCTATTGCAGGTTTCGCAAATGAGAGAATTTGTTCGCATTTGCGATAATCGCATTTGCAAGGAAGGCTTCGCAATTGCGAAGAAGCCTGGGCTGGACAATCGTCGCATTTGCGGCCCTTTTGTCGCATTTGCGACCCCTGCAGAGGGAGCCTAGGTTCGCATTTGCAATGCTTTTGTCGCAATTGCGACCTTCGCATTTGCTAACCAGATGTCGCAAATGCGACATCTGAGGCCTGTGCATAGCTTTTAAAAACGGGACTTAGGCCGTTTATTTCATTTCACTTCCACACTTAGGCGATTTTCAGAGCTTTTGGAAGGGGGCTTTCACCTAGCACTTTGAGGTAAGTTATTTCTACTTAATATGAGTTTAGTACTTGATTTTTGGGTAGATTAACACACAAAGATTAGTGAAAATTATGGGATTAGAGTAAAACCTAGGGTTCTGATAAAAATAAGATTTAACCACGAAATTTGTTATGGAATGGAATAAAAATCATATATTCGTGATCCTTAGGTTATAGGAACCTTGCATCTAGGGTTGGGAAATTACTTTAATAGTTAGAATATGAACTCTTGAGCTTGTATTGACTAGTTCTTACCTCGTTTGATTAGTTTTGGATCGTTCGGCTCCGAACTGAGGGTTTTGAGCACATTCTTGAATCGGGATATAGGATTTGGAAAGAAGTAAGTCTCCTTTCTAACCTTGTAAGAGAGAATTAACCCAATAGGTGAATTAAATAAGTGTATGTGACTATCTGTGGGGGCTACGTCCATACGTGGTGACGAGAGTCCATACGTAGCAACTATTATGCTAATTGTTCGGGTAGTCAGGACCCGTGTTATGCTATACTTGCAAATGTTTGCGTCCTTGCTTACTATTGAGATCACTTAGGACATGCTAGATATTGATAAACAAATATAAACTGTTATAACCACTTACTGGAGACCTTATATGAATTATTTGACTGTAAATGAGCAATGCGTGCTTACTTGATAATAAATTTCTATTTGTGGATCGGGCCGATCGCCTCGATAGTAAATACATGCATCTATGATTCGCGCCACTCGACCCTCTGGCAGTGCACAATTTAATATTATGTTGGACCGGGCTGTACGACCTTGGCATAATGTGTGCATGTTATATGTTTGGGATTCTTCCATGATTTACACTGCTTAAATGTTTGAAATATAAGTGTTACATGATATGACTGAGCTTGACATGTTACTTATGAAAGACTATCTTATTTATCCATGATCATGAATTGTTATTATTATTCATACTATCTATGGTTAGTGTAATACTTAAATATGATTATTGTTGACCCTAGTAAGTGTCAAGTCGACCCCTCGTTACTACTTCTTCGAGGTTAGGCGGGATACTTACTGGGTACATATTGTTTATGTACTCATACTGCGCTTCTGTACTTAACTATACAGGATCTGAGACAGGTGCATCTAGCTACCTAGTCGGCGCGCATCCCTGATACTTGATCGAGACTTCACGGTGAGCTGCCCCTTCTGAGTCGTTCAGCAGCATGCTAGAGTCTCTTCTTTTTTTGTTATTTCTATCTAATCTATTCCAGGCAGCAGGGTAGTTATATTCTTTTGTACATTCTACTAGTTTCCTTAGTACTTGTGACACTGGTTCCTGGCTCACACACTGGTAGACTATTATTTTGGGGTTGTATATCAATTATCATGAAATATTGATTACCCCTTGCTTTAAATTTAAGTCAAGAAAAAGTTGGGATTATTGTTGGTAAAATAATTGCGAACTCACTAGTCGATTAGGGTTGGCTTGCCTAACAACGGCGTTGGGCTCCATCACCACCTATAATGGAATTTGGATCGTGACAACATGGTATCAGAGCACTAGGTTCATGCAGGTCTCACAAGTCATGGGCAAACCAAATAGAGTTTTGTGGATCAGTACGGAGACGTCTGTACTTATCTTCGAGAGGCTATAGGGTGTTAGGAAACTACTCTTTATTCATCTTCTATCGTGCAGTGATGGTATATTAAATTCCCTTCTTCTAATCTCTCACAGATGGTGAGGACGCGCTCGACAGATGTTCGAGACCCGGGAAGAGATGCTCCCCTGTTGCTAGAGGCTGAGGCTGAGGCCGGGGGAGGGCACCGGCCCGAGGTAGGGGACGAGGGCATCCCAGAGCTGCCTCAGTTTCACCACTGGTGGATCCTATCGTTGAGGAGCAGGGCGAGGTGCCCACAGCTGAGCCTACCGCAGCGGACTTTATGACAGCACCGGGTTTCCAGGAGGTCATAGGCCGTATGTTGTAGTTCATGGATACCATGACTCAGGCTGGTTTATTTCCAGCAGACCCGGCCACTTCTCAGGCGGGGGGGGGGG